GCAATGTACATTGTCTGAAAGACATTTGTAAATGCCTAATTGATGCCCAATATCAATAAAAAAATAAAATAAAAAATAAAGAGATATTTGGATGGACACTGGAGTGTAGAGAGTTTAGTACGGACATCTAGTGGTACTACTACATGCTTACAGCTGCCTTGTTGCTTCCACAGGAGAAAACACCTAAAAAGATGAGAATGATCATAAAAGAAGATGCCTCCTAACGGGCACAAAGGGTCAGAGAATAGTTTGGAGAGTATGAAAGAAAGAAAAAAAAAAAAAGGTGTGAATCATAATAACAGTCACTAAATCTCATCCCTACTGAACACCAATGAGAGGTTTTGGAGCGGTGTGTTAGACAGCACTCTCCATCATCAAAAGACCAAGCTGGGTAATATCTTTTGGAAGAATGCTGTACAATCCCTGCAGCAGAGTTCAGTCTGAGAATTTATGCCAACATAAAACTACTGTAACATTCCCTGGTGCAGGCAGACTTTACCTCAAAAGTCACACAATTAGACAAGAAATAGAAAGGAAAGTTCAGTTTACTTTAGAAAAGGTCAAAACCAGGTCACTCAGGGTACCAAGTCAAAAAAGGGGCAGGTAAAATATCCAAGGTCCAAGTAACAGGTAAGGGTAAGAACAAGCAGCTCAGGTAACATGGGCTCTGAAATGCTGGAGAGCTTGGCGGGAAAACACAAGACAATCTGGCAGGAACTAAGGCAAAGTGGACTGTTATATATACTGAGGGACTAATGAGAGAATGAGCTGCAGGTGAGGAGATGGCTGGAGAAGACCAGGTGAGGAAATGAGGTGATTGCATGGCCTGAGAAAGTGGCAGGGCCTGAAACGTCAGGAGAGTGAGTGAAAAAGCACATCATAACAAACTAAGAGGAGGTGGAATATGTGGCAGCTATTCTCATGGGCGGATTACTAAACAACGGGCTGCTGAGCACAGACATGCAAAAGGTGCCACCACTTAGGAGCAAGACACATAGACTTTATAGATATTTAGCCTCTTTTCGTAGTTGCTTTGTATCTCTTTGTGTCTCAAAGCAACTGTTTTGCATCTCTTTGAAGTTGTTTTATGTTTCTTTATGTCTCTCTTTGGGTGTTCAGTAATCCATCCATGGCTACTCTGGTATCTAGTGGTGGCCCAGTGCCTCAGAAAAAGTTCTACGTCACAGTACAAGTACCACAATAAAATGATTATCTTTGTGATTGTCACAGCCCACACACCCAGCAACAGCATCTTGTGTTGCTCCTCTGATCCAGCTAAACCCTGTCGTAGATGTTTTCTTTATGCTATTATATCTCGCTGATCTTTTGCGGAAAACCAATCAAATGTGTTTGATAACATGAACGATTCCTCCTAAACCTCCCACAGTGTAATAAAAAAAAAAAAAAAATCATGGTACAAACTCTATACGAGCAAAAGTACGATACTGTACACATGGTGAAAAGGAAGAAAGGCACAATCTCAAGGGAGTCTGGTGCATTTTTTATTTCTTCAATGACTAGAAATCTTGCTGTGTGTGAAATCTGCAGGGCACTTAATCCTCTGGTACCAGCCAAACGCAATCGCTCATCGTTGTCAACAATTCAAGTCACATGAACATCATGATAAAGACACAAAGATGGAACAAAATTTTTTTTTTTTTCCAAATTAAAATAGTAAAAAAAAAAAAAAAATGAAACAATGATCATTGTCATCAAATAACAATAAATATGGAGCACTCTTCCCTGTACAGAGATGTATTCTATTCTAAGATATTTTGTAATAAAATATAGAACTTCAGTGCATTTTCCTTTGACACGCTTCAGCTGCTCGTTTCAAAGCCGCCGCTATGCAAATCTCTGTTACCCTGGCATTAAAGCAATGGCCTTTAGAACAGAAACAATCAAATCACCAAATGTTTATCCTCCTGAACAACACAAAAAAGCAGATATAAAATGTCACAGCCTTCTCTTTGTCTATCTGTACTGTACATCTCAAAACACAAACCTGGACAGAAAAGGCACAAGTAACTACAATTAGAGTAATACTGGACGAAAGTTTGGACAAACAAAAAATGGAATTATTTTTGATTTAAGATTTTGGTCATTTACAAATTTATTCATATTCATTTTAAACAGGCATTAAGATTACCAGTATCAATAGAGACTATATATATATATATATATATATACATATATATATATAGACATTATTTCACAAAGAAAAAAAGTGCATTTTTATAACAAACCTGAATATTGCCAAAGAACAAACATTTAAGTTAGCAATAGTATTGAAAACTGTATAAAAACGAAGCAATAAAAAAAACAAGACTAGTGTAGCAACCAATAAAGCAAAATGGGATGCATTATGCATCAAGGTGTAGACACCTTTAAGTGCTCTGGTCTGTTCCGTCTCCTTCAGCTCCTCCCTCCACTAGATCGCCACCAGACGGTGGCTCATCCCCCTCTGGCTGCTGTCCAATGACATGCGAGGCTACGGGAGCTGCTAGGCTGAGAGTTGCTCTTGAACTGTCTCTGAAGCAGTGTTTGGTGGTCTCAGTAGCAGGCCTGCGGGTGTGGGCGGAGCTATGTGAGCTGCCATATTGCTTTGAGTCCGTGGTCTCCAACTTCTGTTTGGAACATATTAGTGCTGTGCTGAGAACACACAGCCCTGACTGGCTGGTTCCTGCTGTCTGGTCCTCTGACCAATGGTCTCCAGAAGTCCTAAGCCCTTGAGTTCTGGGGGTCCCGCCCCAGTATGATTCAAATCTGGACAGTGATGGCCCTTCCATGGGGGGAGACGTTGGGGACGAGGGGGTGGTAGGGTGGGACCTCGGACTGGCCTGTACCATCTGGATCCCTCCGATGGGAATCATCAGATAGGGGACCTTGGCTTGTTGGGAGTGCTTGGGAAGATGGCTGAAGATGTTGTCTGCTGTTTGGTGGCCCGGATAACCCTCACAAATGGAAAGACGGAAAGCAGGTGGAAACAAACTGGCTTCTGGCAATGTTGGCCCCTCTGCTGTTGTACCCCGTTTCACCTGTAGAGGGAGGAAAAACTTCGTCATTACATTTCTTGGACTTGCTTTTTCAGTACCGTACACCGAGATCTTCCTAGGAGGAAAGTGCAGTGGAAATACATTGTGGTTGCTGTTGCTCAGTTTAAATTTCTATGCACATATCTGTGCAGACTAATAAAAAAGACTCACTGGTTTTACATGACCACCCCTTGTACCAGGGCTCTCCCATGGCAGGTATCCAGGGGTCCTGTGCTGTAACCTGAGTGGCGAGGGAGGGGTCCGAGCCTTTGATGACCGGTAGCAGCTGGGCGAAATGGTACGAAGAGGAGAGAGGGGTCTGATGGGAGATGGTCCTCTCTCAGGGGAGGGGGAGACGTGTCGGCTGGGCGAGGACAGCTCTGTCCTCGGAGAGAGGCTGCGGATGGGCGAGGACAGCTCCAGACGGGGGGAGAGGCTGCGGCTGGGGGAACAGCTCTCACTGCTGGGGGAGAAGGCTCTCGGCGATGCCTTCCATCCCCGCCGAGAGAACAGCGCTCTCCTGCTGCCTGGAGATGCGGCTCGTCTGTTGAGCCAAACTCCCCTCGGGGAGAGCTCTTGTCCTGGACAGGGACTGGGGCCCGGGGGCTCAGGGTCCGGGGTGCCCTGCTGAGAGCGCCTACTACAGCTGGAATGCCCTCCTGTTGATGGGTGGGTGTCTGACGAACAGGACGACGGATTGTCGTGGGATGCGGACTCCTCTTCCTCATCATCGTCGTCGTCATCGTTGTCATCATCGTTGTCATCATCGTCCTCAGAATCCTCCACGTCAGTAAACTGATGTTCCTCCTGTCCCTCTGAGCCACACACACGTTCATCACTTCCTGCTGTTTGTGCAGAGAAAAAAAACATACACATCCTTTAAATGAGATCCCTTTACATCCATGTTATATGCTTAGAAACTCCAGTACTGAATGTACAGTCCTGACAAAAATCCTCACACTAAATGACACGAAAAACATTGTAACGGAACAATTTTCAGGAACAAGCACAAAGGGTTAGGACAGCGTACTGTATCTTTTCCTCACCCACATGTTATAAATAGCCTGAGGATGAAAAGACCGGAATTTAATTTAACAGAACCATGCCTCTATTCACAAACTATCTCAACAGCCTTCTGAATAGAAAGACGGTTTAAATGGCGCGTCCTTGGCTGTGATGAGGGTAGTCTGTCAGCAAGGGGTGGGGTAGTAGAGGAAGGTTAGGGAGGAGATCGTGAGGTGGCTGGCTTTGAGGCAGACGTAAGTGTTGGAATGCGTGTTGTCATACGCCAGCAATGCATCCTTGAGAACAAGGTATACTTGCCAGAGAGCAGCAACCACATCAGGAGACTGTGGAATAGTCTTCATTCATTTATCCTCTACTTTTTCATATTTTTTATGCAAGGCCAAAGGGAGGAGAAGAGAACATGGTGTTGCATAAGCCGTCAGTGCTGAGCAGCTGTGATTCTTCAGAGGCAGAAGTTCATCCAGCTGTGTACCAATATTTCTCTATGGCGGATAGGAAATATGTGAGATGCCTCCCCATCCCCTCTTAAGTACCTGTTTCCTCGCTCTCTGGCTCATCCAGTGATGACTCAGATACTCCCATTGCCTGGCATTTTTTCCCATGAGCCTTTGACTTCATGTGTTTTGTAAGGTTCCCTAGGAAGGAACAAGAAAAGCACATTAAAATTGTCCACGACTAACACAAGGCTAGTTAAATGAGGACAACCGAGGCAAAATAAAGTAGAAGGCTATACTATAGAGCAGTGGTTCTTAACCTTATTGGAGGTACTGAACCCTGCAAGCTTCATCAGTGCATTCACCGAACCCTTCGTAATTGGAAAAATAAAATATGATTTCTTCAAAACATAGGTATATATTTTATTAGTGCACAAAATTAACCATGCATCACTTGCACACAAAATCACTGTGTTCAAAGAACAAAACATGAATTTCACACAAAAACATAACTCAATGAATATTTACTGCAAATCAATGTGACTTTTGCTGTTGCCTTTCAGATACAAGTTCAGAAATGCGCGGCTTCACCTTGGCAAGTGCCACTCTCATATCATTTTCGCAACAAAGTCTGTTCCTTTTCTTAGTTTTTACGTCTACCATCCTCGAAAAAGATTGCTCGCAAAGATACGTTGTAACAAACGGTGTGAGTATCTCAAGGGCTTTCTTAGCAATAAGAGGGTATGGTACGATTTGGTGACACCAAAACGTTGAGAGCGTTGTTGTTCTGAAGAGTTGCTGTTGAAGCTGGCTCTGCTGAAGTTCAATGATTTCTTTGAGGTATTCATCGTTGACATCTGCTGTTGCAACACTAAACGTGAACGGCTGTCTCACCCGTGCTGGATATGACTCTCTGGTGGGGAAGTATCCGTCGAGAGACTTTGCGAGCTCATCTAAGTGCATGGCAATTGCTTGCTTCAGCTCCCCAGGTACAGAAATGTCTCCAATTCCAGACACGTCTTCGATCTTACTTACACAGTCGTCCAGCAGGGGAAAGTTTGCGAAGTTATCATTCTCTGTTCGTCGTTTCCATAAAGGTAGCTTTTTTTGAAACGCCTTCAGGTTTTCTTCCGCTTCGATGATATTGACTCCACCGCCCTGCATCTGTCGATTGAGATTATTGAGAGCATCGAAAATATCTGCCATGTACGCCAAAATGAGAATGAACTCAGAATTTTCGAAGCAATCTGCGTGACAATGTTGGTACTCTCGCAAAAACAGGGCCAATTCCACACGCATGGCAAAAACACGATTCAGCACCTTTCCCCGGGATAACCACCGAACGTTAGAATGGTACAGAAGTACCTCGAATTCAGAGCCCATTTCCTTACACAGCTCTTTGAAGATGCGGTGCTTCATAGCACTATTTCGCACGTAGTTCACACATTCAACTACAATTTTTAATACTTCTGCCAGTTTTGAAGGCAAGGTTTTTGTTGCCAACGCATGCCTGTGCAGAACACAGTGCGTAACAATGATGTGTGGTGCATCGGATTTCACCAGCGCTCCAAAACCAGAGTGTCGTCCTAGCATGGCTGGAGCTCCGTCCGAACAAACTGCAGAAACCATATTCCACGAAAGATCGTTGTCTCTGAAGAAGTTATCCACGAGTTTCTTCACATCGACTGCCTTGGTTGTTGTTGTTGTAAGAGGCTTACAAAATAAAAAAATCTTCCTTTATCACGTCGTCTTTCATATAGCGCACGAATACAACAAGCTGGCTTAGATTGGAAATGTCGGTGGTCTCGTCGAGTTGGAGGCTGAATTTTGCTGGGCTTGAAATCAGATCTGCAACTACTTGAGCCAAGATGTCATCGCTCATGCCGTCTATTCTGCTGCTGATAGTGTCATTTGAAAGAGGAATTTGGGATCACTTATCTTCAGCAGCTTTTCCCAGCATGATATTCGCCATCTTCAACACAGCTGGTTTTACGAGTGTTTCACCAATGGTGTGTGGTTTGCCCTGCTTTGCGATCAGGTACGCAACTTCGTATGATGCTGTGAGGATCGGTTTGTCGATGGGTACAAAGCCGAGAACAGGCAGAGTAGCCTTTTCATCGAATCTGGCTCTCTTCACCTTGAATTCAGCGAGCGTTGTGTTCTTGTATTTCCCATCTCCATGCAGCTTTAGGAAGTGTTCCTTTAGTTTTGCCGGTGCTGGACTAGAATTGCTCAACTTGGCATTCATGCATTCATCAATCATGCATTGAGGACGCTGACTCCCATCACGTTCCTTTATACACGTGAATTCATATTGTACACATTCGTCCAACCACTTTCTTTTTTTGCTCGACATAGTTAGTATGAAGGGATTGAAAGTTTAAAAGAAAATCACAAATGACGTACAATCACAACAGCCACAAGTCGACTACTGAGCGCACCAAGTTCCTGATCAGGCAATGTGGCATGATCAGCTGCAGCCAATGATGGCCAAGCGGAGCGTGATGTCACAAATAATACGAGTGGACTGAATTTATCTCACGCCGGGTTTACACCGGACGCTGAAGCGCCGCGCCAAGGAAAGCCAGGCGCCTCCTTTCCGCCCCCCTGTTACACAAATGTGCTGTTCACATCGGCTGCGATGCGCCGCACCGCGCCCTGCACCGATGATTTCGGTGTCGAGTCTATTTTTTCCGCTCGCCGCGAGCGTATCGCGCCAGGAAACACACTGAAAAATTATTTAAACGATATAAATGACATATTTTATATTATATAAATGATCAAATATGCATCCCATACTTTGTCCTGCTGTTGTCCTGCAGTTCCCCCTTCTGTTGTCCTGCAGTTTCAATCTCCCCGATATTTCCCCTCTCATTATTAACTTTCCCCATCTGCCCATCCACTACAAACAGACAGACAGAGGGAGAAAGAGAGGGTTGGGGGGGCTATGAAGACCATCATCATTTACCCCCGAACCCCTACATTGAACGGGTTACATACAACAACAAGCGGAGAAAGCAGAATCGCGGGCTGACCGGCGCGGAGAAATGCGCGTCCGATGTGAACAGCCAGGCGGGCGCGCCAGGCGCGCAGTGCTTGAGAATGGCGCTGCGCGGCGCTTCAGCGTCTGGTGTAAACCCGGCGTAACACGGCGAAGAAAAATTGTGTGTTGCCAATTTTTTGACGGCCGACAAAAACGGCCCGACATTGCTAGTGCGAACCGGGCTATACTGTATGTGTCTTGACCCCTGCCGAAACCCGGAGAGTGACTCACCGAACCCAGTTTAAGAACCACTGCTATAGAGCAAAGGAGTAAATTGTCACCTTACCTTTGGTTTTGAAGGCAAAGTTGCAGTGTTTGCAAATGTACGGACGGACATCGGTGTGCGTTCGGATGTGCTTTTTCAGCATGCTAGGCTTCTTGCAGCGAATGCCACAGTCTCCACATATGTACTTGCCCCGGCCACGACCTCTCACATAGACGTACTCTTCATTGGACCTATACCTAAGAGAGAGAGAGAGATCAGGGAGAAAGAAACAGAAAGATAAGAGATGTGGTCACCACAAAAATCACAAATTGTGGTTACTTTCATATACACTATATACAGACCACTCATTTCACTGTGTGGTAGTTCTAGGAGCTGAATGCACAAATGACTGTCTTGTTCATTGACCATCTCTAGTGAAATGTATATCTAATTAAATTGATTTGCATTTAAAGCTGCACTAATGGATTTTTGATCACTTGAGGGCAACAGAACAAGCTGCAAACACAGCATTAATATATTTTCACCTTGTTAAGTTGTTACGGTGAACAACTATTTACACATCCAGCAGTTATGCAGCAGCATTAAGACTCATTTGGAGTCTTGCTTCTGGCCAAATTTAAGTCTAACTTTGCTTTTCTGCTGTTTGGAGCCTGTAGCATACAGTGGTGTTTCCCCCTGAAAGCATCTGCTGCTGGAAACAAGTATGATGATGTAAAACCAAAGCAACGCTGAGTAGAGCTGAGGCAAACTGAAGAATTGGGTGATGGTTCACTGTGGCTTTGTCACAAGTGAACTCTTTCACTTATCAGTCATTTAACTTATTGTTCTAAGAAAAATATTGATTCCTGCAGGTTTAATAATAATGACGAATGTTGGTGTGGAAAAACATACACGCACACACACACACACACACACAAGGGAAACTGGGAAACAAGGCTTTCTTTATGGCGGTGGGTTGGGAAAGCCCCACCAAAACCCCAGCAGCACTGAGTCCCTTAGCTGTTCCCTCCACAACACCCTGGGCACACAGAGAATACCAGCTATTCTGCTGCGATCGCATGGCCCTGCCAACAACAGCAGCAGCAGCTAAAAAGAGGGAAGGGAAGCCTGGCCATGGTCAACAACCTGAAATAGACATTTATATATAAAAATCAACACTTTTAGGTTTAGTCTATAAAAACATTGTTTATACGCAATCTTGATGTTTACCAAAAAGGCTACTTGTGGACAACTGAACAAATATATGCACCACATCTGCAATAATCAGGGCTGTGTGTGAATGTTCCCCGTTGTATGTATAACAGAACCAGCAACGGCAAATCATAACAAATTGATACACGACTGTAAAATAGTCCTAACAGTGGCATTACGTTGCGTTCATTCAGGATCTGGCTACCGTTTTACTGGCATGTATTTCTCGCCATTGCTAAAAATATCCACCCGCATCTCAGGAAAAACAAGGCAGAAGTTGCACTTCACAAATGGAGCAGGCACGTCTCTCAGTAAACTCAACCCACAATCTGCCGCTGCTTGTGCTGTAACTTTACGGCCGCCATTGGCAGATTGGAGGAGAGAATATCACTTTCAACCAGCGTGTGATTGACTGATAAGGCCACTGAATTTCAAAGCAGCGACAAGTGAATAAAAGTAAAAGGCTATACTGCAGGTACTGGAAAATACTTCAATTGCTTTCTTTGGCCAGAAAGGAGTTCGGCATAACTAATCCCTTTAAAACACCCTGTAAACGCTGCTCACAGGAATGGATATGCCCATTTCACCACTGTGGTTAAAGTATTGTGAGAAATCTGCAATGTTAACCAATTACACCATGCAAATGAATCTGCATTCTGTTTTAATAGAATCCAGAGGGACACAGTTCAGCTAGTGCTCGCTAAAAGGGATTAAAGCTGATATTCCACAGAGTTTTGCTGCAACCAAGAAGAAGCAGCTATGCTTGCTTAATTGCCAAGACGTGTGTTATTGAGGTGAAAGCTGCCGAGATCCAATATCTGTTTTTATTTAGCTGCGTGACACTAATTAACTCTAGAGACCCCTGCACTCCTGTTTTTTTAAAGGGATCTCTGAAGGGGGATCAGAACATAAACAAAGATGCACAATGCATATTCATAAAAAACGTGTCGCTTGTTCTCCAGGATAAAATGAGTGGCACACAGTCATGATATCAAAGGGTTGACAAAATGGAGATTGGGATAATGAGCCCTAACAGAGTCAGAGTACAACATATTCTGCTGTGTTGAGAGGGAGGCTGTGCTTATTTGCATGCACAGAGAAAAGTATTAAGAGGTGCAGGTACACAGAGAGAGAGAGGACACAGATGAACGTTGGAAGGGAATGAAGAGAGAATAATACATAGGTAAGTAAAACGGGAAGAGGTGCCAGAGTGACACTGGCAGCATGAACGGATGGAGGGGGTTTGGTGTGATGGAAACAGAGGACGCGACGAAGGGAGAAAGCTGTAGGCTGTTAACGGATGGAAATGAATGTGTGTAATGTGTGGCTGGAAATGATAAAGACTGGTAATTAGTGCCTTATCTACTGTCAAGCACACTACTTCTTCACAATCAATCTGTGTGCACATTAACACAAAACACAGGCCTTAAATGTGCAATAACACATATACAAGTAATACCCATTCCTAAAAAATCTCTTATATCTCCTACGTAATATCTCTCTCAACATTTCTGTTCCCATCAGAAGAAAAACAGTGTGCTCTGAAATGTTTGTTAATTGGGAACATTTTACCTCGGTCCACTATCCTTTTACTGCTTTCCCTTTTATTCTTATCTATTCCTACTTGCTTCAATGGTAACAGATCTGGGGAAACTTAGACCTCTTACTGTAACACAGTAAACCTGGGAAAGAAGAGAGAGGCTGCACTGAGAAAAGAAATCACTCTTTCCTCACATTTATGGACAGCACAAATGTGTGAACGCAGTCAAGAGTAGAAATGTGAAAAGATTAAACAAACACATGCACACATTGCACACAAACATGACAATCTTGACTGATACTGATTGTTTGCAGATTGCTTCATACTTTTCCTCTGTTTCTTCTAAGTTACGTATGCAACTACAAAAAAAACTGGTATTAATGAGAGCCTCACAAAGTGAAGTTGGAGACAACCTTTTTACCCATTACCTAACCAACACACACACACACACACACACACACACACACACACACACACACACA